GCTCTCCCTGCCCACTCACCGGTCGGGGACACAGCTGCAGTGGTTGGGAGTTGCATACGGGGAGCTACTGGAGGAGCAGGAGAAGCAGGAGGAGCCCTGGCTACACATGGGATCTAGGTGCCAGGCTGGCAGGCTGGGCCCAAAGCCCTGCATCTCGATCATGTCACCGGCATCTGAGGACAGGAAGGGGGCCATGGTCAGGGCCTGGCAGGCCTCCCCGCAACAGCCACCCTGCAGCATGCCCACCTCTGTGCCCAGAGCTGCAGCATGAAATCACCCACTGGTGGAGAACCACGGGGGTAGTGTCTGCCTGGTCCAGAACCCAGAGAGGGCGATGGTGCAGAGGGAGGGTGCCTGACACGTCCCAGCTCCCCCTAACCTTTCTGCACGTGATAAAATACTCTGGCTGAGTTGTGCATGATTGTGTCTGTTCTCTCCATCTTGCTATTAGTGATGGAAAACACTTGCTTTTCTAGAGTCTGGCAGAGAAAGAAAGAGAAGGAACAGCAAAAGCCGAGCTCCCTAAAATGCTGCCGCTGGCATGGCCCCGATGCTCCAGCCTGGTCCTCCTAGACCAGGGGTCGGCAAACTCATTAGTCAGCAGAACCAAATATCAACAGTATAACGACTGAAATTTCTTTTGAGAGCCAAATTTTTTAAGTTTAAACTATATAGGTAGGTACATTGTTATTAACTTAATTAGGGTACTCCTAAGGCTTAGGAAGAGCCACACTCAAGGGGCCAAAGAGCCGCATGTGGCTCGCGAGCAGTTTGCCGACCACGGTCTTAGACAATCTCTGAGAGGCACAGGCGGGTGCCTGGACCTGGAACTGCGAACTCGGAGCAGAGTCTCCACTGATCAGAGACCTGGAGGACCCCTGAGGGTTCTAGACCTGGTAGCCAGTGCCTGAGGGTCAGGGCTCTCCACGCAGGCCAGGCACCCCGCTGCCCGCTGCTGTGGTCCTTCCTGAGTTCTCCATCCTCGCCCAACCTGACTGCACTCAGTGTGGTGGCCTCCACAAACACACAGGAGAGCTGACAGGAAGGGCAAAAGTCCCAGGGCTGCCAGATCGCCACAGGGATGAGGGTTCCACCATCCAGAACAATGTCCCCAGGTGCAGCCTCAGAAGACAGCTCCTTGGACACATCTACACCAAAGGCAGATGGAGCCCGTCAGCCTGCCCAGCTGACTGGAGTCAGAACTCAAGATCATTGAGAGCTTTTAGGGCCCACGTGGGGCAAGGCGCTGCTCAGGGGGGCTCCAGCAGGTCCGGTGAGCCACAAAGATGAAGCAAAGTGAGGGCAGGAAGTGAAAGGACTAGGAGATGGCACTAGGAGGTAGGAAGGGACAGAGAAGAGTGAAGAAGAACAGGGAAAGGCAGCTGTGTGTGTGTGATGAATTCTTTCAAGCAGTATTTCTTCCTGGGCCCTGGCCTGCTGAGTCTGGAGCAGACGGAGGCCTGGCTTCTGTGGGAGCCAGACTCCAGCTCTGGGGGTGCCTTGGTGGGAGGGGCTGAGCTGAGCCCTCCAGGCCCCTCAGAGACTGCCCCATGTTGGCTGGGAATCTCTTCCCAGACCCTTGGTGGGATTTTTGTAGATCTGGCCCTTCAGCTCCACCAGGAGGCAAATTAAGGGAACATACTTGGTGTGGAGGGGCTGCGGCTCTGGGAGTGAGCAGTTGCAGGCCTTGCCGGAGACTCTGGGAAGAAGGGGGGCGGGCAGATGCAGGTGGGGTGGGGCAGGAGCCCAGCTCATGCCCCTACAGCAGGCAGGAGAGAGGCCAGTCTTGAGAGGAGCTGGGGTGGGAGCAGGCCCAGCCAGGCAGGCAGCAGGCAGCAGGCGGGCAGGCAGTGGGGGCAACAGGTGCAGAGGGCAGAGGGTGGGCACACAGGGAAACGAGCTCATGCCCAGAAAGCAGGGCTCAGCCAGGGCAAGTCTCCCGGGTCAATGCTCTTCACCTTAATTCTCCAGGAAGGAGCTGAACCAGCCAGCATGGAATATGCGTCTCTGAATTAACCCAGTGCAGATGGCTGGAGCTCTGGAGTGACTGGGCAAGGGGCAGCAGGCGGGGCGGGGGCGCTGCTGGGTCAGCTTTGACTCTGACTCTCTCCTCTGAGCTTGAGGGAAGTCTGAAGTAAAACAATCAGGGTGGGTGAACCCCACAGCCCCTAAGACTCCGAGTGAAAGGTGCCTGGCCTGGAGCAGAATTAGAGTGAACAGCATCTCTGCTCTGTGGGGAGGCAGCAGGAGAAGGGGGAGGGGGAGGGGAGGAGAGTCTGGACACCCGCCACTTGATTCACATGCACAAGTCAAGCATGTCGCAGGCCTGAAAAGCAACGGCTAGCAGGATGGACTCAACAGTGTTGTCATTATGGAGTGGAGTGGAGGGGGGCTCCCACACCAGCTCCCCAACCCCCTGCGGACTCTGCTCTCATGCCTCCTCCCCTTTCCCAAGCCTTGGAGTCCCAGGGGCTGCATATTGGTCTACTGGGTAGGCTGGCCCTAGTTCCCCAAGAGAATGCCCACATAGGCCCTGAGGCCTCTGCACACTGTGGGCCTGAAGGTTTCTCTGACCCTGGAGGCCTCAGCATGAAGACTAGTCAGGAATGGACTTCCTACCACCAAGTCTCCTAAGACAGGGGCTTGGCCGGGACCCCCCCCCATCCTGTCCCCAGCCAGCTCCTGGGGGTAAGAAGGGCCAGCCCGGGCTCTCCTAACTCACCCTTCCCACTCTGTTTAAAGTCAGTCAGCCTGTAATAAGCATCAGCCCCAAGCCCAGGCTTGTAAGGAACCAGATGGCAGGCCATGTGCAGGCAATAAACATCACAAGCGAGGCTCCCCTGTGTTCCCACCCAGGCTGGCCTGCAGGTCCCACTGGGAGGGAGGCTCCCCTGTGTTCCCACCCAGGCTGGGAGGGAGGATAGACGTGAAGGCAGGCACGTGGTGAGTAAAGGGCAGCTGGCAGGGTGTGCTGAGGGTGTGCTAGGCCACGGACTTGGTTGCCCAGGGATGGGGAGACTTACTATTGGCACGGCGATGGGCAAGTTCCCCTAAACTCCAAGAGAGCTGGCCCTTCATAACCGATATCCCTTGAGCACCCTGGCTTAGCCCGCACAGGTTCCCTGGCTGATGATCACACTCCAGAAGGAGAGTGGGGTTCCCTCCCCACCAGCCGAGCTCTGTGCTAAGATGGGCAATGGACAGAGTGGCTGTGAGCACTGTGCTGAGTCATTATCAATGAAGGGACCTCTGCAGCTGTGCAATCTGAGGGCCGTGAGGGTGGAACATACCTGACTTAGACTCTAGACTTCATACTAAAGCACCAGGCAGTGCCTGCTGGATCACCCAGGCCTGCTGGGTAAACAGAGCCCTGGGTCTCCTGCCAGGATGGCCCCACCCCTCACCTGACCCCCCTGGTGGCTCCTGTCTGCAGGCGCTGTCCAGCCCCTCCCTCTGCCCCGGAGTGGCCTGGTACTTCTGTCCTATTTCCGTTGAGTTAGGAGTCAGAGGCACAGGGCCCAGAGGCCAGTCTGCCCAGCCAGCACAAGAGAAAGAGAGACACTGTCTTGGGTTTGTCCAAGGGTGGGAACAGGGCTCAGACAGCCAATCAGGGTTTCCAAGGGACAACCAGGTCATCAGGCCTTCTCACCGCGGGATCTCCTCCCTCTCCTCACAGAGCCCAGAGCCAACTGCCTTTTGCTTGGTCCCCTCCTCTTGGGACCTCCTCCTTCTACCCTCCCAGATCTGCCTCCTGATGGAAGGGAACCACCCAGGGTGCAGGTCCCATAATGCCAACACTGCAGTTCGAGCCCCTGCGGTGGGTGGCCGGTGGGCCCAGGGGGTGGGGCAGAGGGAAGGGGAAGGTCAGGGAGAAAGGGAGGGATAAAAACCTTTCATCGGATTGGGAGCTGTGAGGTTCCGCGAGCAGATCATTGAGAGCATCGCGTGTAGTTTATCCTCCTCTTCCTCATCATCGTCCACCGAGGCCGCGCGGCTGGCCGCTAGGTGGTGGTAGTTAATAGTGACTGCTCAAAGAGAACAGCGAGAGAGCAAAGCATAAGGACCCTGGTCCTGGGGCAGGAGGGACCGGATCCGTCCTCCTGGGGAGCAGAATGGAGTCCGGGTCACCCTGAGCCTGCAGGGATGGAACAGAAGGGACCTGAGAGTCCTTTGATTTACTGGGGAGAGTATGGAAGGAAGTGGGGGGACGGCAGCAGCTACAGAGCTCCACTTTTTGAAGAAGGCCCTCTCTAGGAAGAACAGAGAAGAGAGAACTGATGGGGGAGCCAGGGTAGTGAAAGACGGGGACCAGTTGGGACAGGCCAGCAGCTCAGGAGCTCCCGGCCCTGGCTCAGGCTGGGCGTGACTGTTGGCAGATGGATCCTGAGCACCCTGCAGCTTGTGTCATGGTCAGGCTGGGCCAAATCGGAAGATTACCCCAAATCTCCCCCTTCAGACTATAAATCCAAACTTCTCCTCCAAGGATTTCCCAGAGCTGCTCTCGAGGAGCCTGAGTCACCCGCTGGGTTTCAGCTCCTTGGCACCTGGCTTGCCCTCCAGGGAAATGAAGTGACCAGAAATGGGAAATGCCAAGGCTTAAGAGAGGACGTGCAGCCTGAACAACCTAAGCCGAGCGATAGGCCGAGATTAAATGCCAGGTGTGCAGACACGCTCTGGCAAATGTGTCTCCTACTCAGGCACATCGCGGGGAAGGGGATCCCCACATTTTGCCCTTCAAGCCTGTTGGGACTCCTTGTGCTGCGGCTATGTGTTTACAGTCTGGGTAATCTGTCTGTTAATACAGAGACAACTTGTTGACAACTTATTGGCACAAGTTAGGAAATTTAGGAAGCAGGTGGTCTGGCAAGTGCTCCGGGCTGGCAAATTCCCTGACCTTCTTCCCGAGATCAGTGAGTCCGGCCCGGAGAAACCTGTGGGGGGCAGAGCACTCTGACCAGAAGGGAACTCTGGGCTTGGTGGACATCTATTAGGATCCAGAGGGGTATGTCCAGGGGGACAGGACCCACAAGTGCCAAGCCACTTTCAGCTCCAGCCCCCCCAGCTGAAAGCCTCACCCTCTTCAGATGCACCCCTATTCCCGTTGCGGCTCCTCTCATCAGCAGCTGGTGTGAGGAGGGCTCTGGCTCTAGGGGAGTCAGTGAACAACGTGCACCATCCAAAAAGAAGCGCTGATCCCGCACCCAGGCCACCGTGTGGCGGTCAGGCAGCGGGCCGAGGTGAAATGGAGAGTCCTCCACCCTCTGTCTCTAGTCTCACCACATCCCCCCTCACCCCCGGGGCAGAGTGTGAATGGATGACTAAGAGAATATTGTGTAGAGACACCTGGGTCAGTTGAGCCAAGAGTCGTGGGGTGACAAGGGAAGGGAAAGACAGCAGGTAGAAGAGAAGCAGATTCTCAGGGGGATGATCTGCAGAAAAAGGTCCAATGGGAGGCTAAGTCCTGAACCCGGCCTGGTCAGTGGACCTTGCCCGCTGCCCCTCCTGGGTGATGCTGTTCTCCCCCACCCCCGAAGCATCTTTCTCTCTCCACAGCGGAAGTATGGGACACTCACTGTGCTCATGCCTGTGACCAGGGTAAATGATCCGGAACACGTAGTCTGTGGCCCAGCCTGTGCCCATCTCGTCCACATCTACGGACCGCGCGGTGCCACGTTTCCGCAGCTTGGGGAACACCTTCCCCTGGGGAAGAAGAGGTGGGCAGTTAGCCTGTGCAGGGCAGAGTCCATCCCAGGGTCCCACCCAAGGCTGCTCCTAGGAACTCTGTGTGGGGACAGGAAGGGAGGTGGGCAGAGAACTCACCTCACACATCCCTTCACCCAGAGCCTCCCAAGCCCTGCGTACCTTCCCCTGCTGGGTCCAGAGCGGGGGCTCTAGCTGTCCCCGAGGCAGAAGCCCATTCTCCAGGCAGGACAGGAAGGAGAGTAGGTGTCCTCCCTGCGGGAAGTGCAGCGGTGGCTTCTGGATGCCATCCTGGCTCACCAGTACCAGTGTGCCACCGTTTTCTGGGGGAGGGGGGTGAACATGGGTGAGCAAAGCTGGGCCTCCAAGACCTCCCAGCCACCGCTGCAGCACAGCTGGCCACGCCTCCAGACTGAGTAGGAGGACAGTAGGGCTAGAGTGTGGGGTGACCAAGAGAGGACAGACATTCAACAGGCCATGCGCAGTGTGTGACTGGGAGAAGGCAGTTTCTCTTCCCCCACCCCTGTGCCCAGGACAAGGGAGGCTCACTTTGCTGGTGGCAGTGGATGCAGACGATCTGACTGAAGGGCACCACCAGGGCATAGTCCCAGTAAACGCTGGAAAGGAACCAAATTGGTGTCACTGTGTCGCCAGACCAGCCAACCTGCCTTCCTCACTTCCTGGGCCCAACACCCCTGAAACCACCCTGTAGACACGAAGACCATAGCCAAGAAGTGACCTCAGCCAGCCATGTCCCTCTGGGCTCCGTGCTGCCCTCATGGCACAGAGCCTGGCCGCCCCAGATGCCTCGAGCTTGGCTCAGGCAAACCTCTTAATGTCCAGGACTGGCTGGATCTTAGAGAGCTTGGGAATATCGCCAGGCAGCCTCTCTCTGCAATTCTTGGCATCGGGTAAGGTGTGAGCCTCCTCTTGGAGCAGGCTGGGCCTCTCCATCCCCCGGCCTGCTGGCAAGCTCTCACTCCCTTCTGCGGCTCCTGCGGTGAGTCCCAAAGCCCCCACCTCTTTTCCAGCTCGGAGTCCCCCAGAGTCCCATTCATGAGCTGGTTGGGGGTCCACTTCAGAGTTAGGCTCTCTGCAGACTGGTGCAGGGAGAGGTAGCCGGGGACGGCCTCCATGTCCTCCTTCTGCGGGGAGGAGACACACCAGAAGAGAGACGATGAGGGGCTGAGAGGCTCCCAGGAATGGCCTATGGAAAACGAGCTGCAGGTGGGAGTGGGGGAGGCCCAGCGAGTCCAATCCAGGGTCCTGGAATGGGGCTGGGCAGCAGCAGGGGAGGCACGAGCCACACACAGATGTAGACATAAACTCTTCCTGGTTGGCCTGGTGCCACTGGCTCCGCCCTGTCAGCTTCCTGGATGCCAGGTATGTCCTGGGCCAGCCATACCCAAGCTGCCTGCTGGCTGCCATTCCCATCCCCGGATGCTCTGGTTCTCGCCCATTCAAGACTGGGCATGAGTCAGTGAATTGGGGCGGGGCGGGGGGAGGGTTCTCTTAGTCAAGCCCCTTAAGAATTCTCTTTAGTCAAGCCCCTTAAGAAAGGGATGAATGTAGCTGAAAGGTTCCTCAGAAGAGGATGATGTTCTTGCCATAGAGCAGCCGCGTCCTGGAGTTCTGGTGCAGGGATTCCACATACTCTCGGGCGCAGGCAGCGAGTCTGTCCGACGTGCTGCCGCTCGAGTGCCGCTTCCGGATCTGCACAAAGTCCCAGCTCAGCCCCAGCCCTGGGAAATCAGCCTTGGAGGGAGGACCCTAGGTTTCCAGGCAGATCCTCTCTGGCTGACCCCAGGGGTCCCCCTGCCCCTGGTTTGCTCTCAGCCACCCTCTGCTCTCTAGCTGCAAACCAGTGGTGTGCTCCTGGCATGAAGTGCCAGTGTGGGGAAAAGGCTCTTCTGGGATGGCCACTACCTTGGGGCATCTCCAAGGCCCAGCCTGTATCTTCAAGGAGCACGGTGACCAGCTGCCCCTCCCGACAGGCCCCTGGGCATAACTTGGATGAGCACAAGAGGTAGGGAAGGGATGCCTACTCCTAGGGCTGGGCGCTTTGCAGGGGAGTCCTGGCGATTAGGGGGACCCCGGATACGGTGCCGCTGGACCAGCTCATCAGCAGAAGGGTCGGTCCAGTAGTGATCGGCTGTCTTGAGCTTGGTGTACTCCAAAGCACAGGGTCCCACTGTGGAGACAGGGACAGCCAGCTCGGATGGTGCCCCCTCAGCACCTGACCCTCCGCTCCCACTGGCCCAGTGTAGGCCGCTCTGCTCTCAGGCTCACCTAGAAGAGAGGCCAAGATAGGGCCAAACACGGGATCTGCCAGTAAAGCCTCCTTCTCGTAGTACTTGCTGCCAGCGGGAGAGACAGACAGGGGGACTGCTGGGGCTCCCGGACTCATTCCAGGGCAGTCAAGCTCACCAAGCAGGGACGTTCCCACAGACACCAAATGCATGTCAGTCACCAAGAAGAAATAAACCCTTAAGAACTGAGCTTTGCAGGGGTGGGGTGGGAGGGGTGTTAAGAGATCAACCAAAGGAGATCAACCAAAGGACTTGTATGTATACATATAAGCATAACCAATGGACACAGACAGTAAGGGGGTGAGGGCCTCTGCTGGGGGGGGGTGGCGGGGGCGGGAGCAGACTGGGAGAGATCAATGGGGGAAAAGGAGACACATGTAATACTTTCAACAATAAAGAATTTTTTAAAAAAGAAAGAAAAGCAAAAAACAATAAAAAACAAACAAGAACTGAGCTTTGTGAGGTGTGTGGTATAGCCCATGCTTTCGAGGTGCTAAGGGGGAGATGGGGCATGCTCACAGGCCAAGGTGGACAGCCAAGCCTGCGGAGGCGGGGATGCTGCAGGGATGTTCAGGAGCTGGGCCCCAGGGAGGGGCATTCACCTGCAGTTCTCCACCAGGTACTGCACGACCCTGTCCAGCACCTTCTCGATGAGCGCTGTGCGGACCCATATGTGTTTCAAGGCCTGCGGGCTGAGGGCTGGGGCCTTCCCACTGGTAGAGCCCTGTCTCCGCAGGGCCTCCTGGTTACCCACCAAGGGCTTCCTGCAAAGAGGGGTGGGCTTTAAGAATGCGAGAGCCCAGGGCTGAGCCCCAGACTGGTGGCACTGGGAGGGCAGTTTGGTGCCACAAGATGAGAACCCGGAGGACTGACTAGGTGGAGGTGTTGAAGGCCTTGTGCCTGAAGGTGGCCAAGGCCCACCCTTAGGCTGGTTCTGAGAGGCCCTGCAAGAAATGAGCCCAGGAAGCCAACCTGGGAAGTAGCAGATACCAAATGGTAAGAGCAGAGGGAGCGGGGAGAGGCAGGCCCAGGGCTCACCTGCCCTCAACTTGTTGCTGCAGCTCCTGGACCTTGTGGCAAATCTCCCCAGCCACTGGGCACGTCTTCCCCACCTTGGTGAACAGAGCTGCCACCTTGTCACTGCGCAGGAAGCCGGCGGCACGGCGTCTCAGCTGATGCAGGAGGCAAGCCTCCACCGCACCTAGGCCACAAAGGAAACGAGCATCTGAGCCTGGGTGAGGGGGAGAAAAGAGAACACCCTTCCCCACACCAAGGGAGGGCAGGCTGACCTAGGACCAGGGCATGGGGTGTCAGTTTTAGGCAGGCCAGGAAGATACACCGACCTCCTTCCAAAATTCCCCTCCCTGTCCACCTGCTCCTGCCCTAAGGGCCCCATGCCAGGCCGTTCCTCTCACTCACTTGGTGTGTACATGCCTCCTGTGTGCAGCATCGCCCTGGGGCTGTGAGGACCAAAGTTGCCAGTTCCAGTTGGCACGGGTAGCCCCACCCCTGCCTACTTACAGGACTGGACATGCAGGGAGCACCCAGCACACAGCCCTCCTGGAAAGCATGGATGCTGTGGTTGCTAAGAAACGGGTTCTGGAGAAGGAGCTGAAATATTGACGAAGCCATTGCAGAGATCAGATCCGACAGCAGCCCCTGAATTATTGATGAGCCCCGCAGCCAAGAGTGAGAGATTTCTATTTCCCATGCAGGGAGGGCTTCCCTTCATTCATTCATGTTTTAGGGGGTAGACTTCCTCTCTCCATCTGGATACTGCTGACTGCAGACAGACTCCACAGGAAGGAAAGGAGCGTTGGGTGGGGGAGTGGGGAGTTCTCCTGGCCATGAATAGAATCTAAAAATATGAGTGTGTGTATTCGGGGGAAGAGGGGACTTGGCCGTTACTGAGGCCAAGCTAATTGTTTTACAAGCCAGGAGGGAAAAGCCCACCAAGGGGAAGGGATCTGATCACAGAAACATAGTGGCCTGAGCTCCCTTCACCTTCTCCAGGTGTGTTCAGAGGGCAGGCACGGGTGGGAGAAGGTGCTCCCTTCACAAGGATGGAAAACAGCGCTGTGCTGGAGGCAGGGCGGCGGGCTAACAGCGTCTGAAACCGGTGGGGCCACTCATCCCATCTCCGGGAAACCTGTGTAAGTGACTTCGGCTCTGAACCTCTGTTTTAGCATCTGAGGAATGAGGAATACTTCTAAGGACTGGTATGCAATGTTACACGAGAGGAAGTATGTACAATCTCTCGCACAAGGTCTTGCACGCAGGGGGCACCTTGGTCCCTGTCGATTCCTGACTCCTCACCCTTGTTTGTCGAGACCCTGTTCTGCAGCTCACTATCAGGACTGGGACTTGGCTAGACCTCTCCCTGGCCGGGAGAGGAGAGGATGCGCTGGAGGCAGGATCACAGCCTGCCCAGAGGTGGGTGCAGATGCTGTCCTCTTAGAGAACAGGGGAAATGAAGCCCATCATTTATTGAGACTAGTGTTGTTAGAAACCCAGACTGAGGACCTAATTGCTGGAAACAGAGGTTCTCACCTGATTTCTGCCTTCACCGTAATAACTGACAGGCAGTCACTGCTGTCCTATAAAAATGAGCTTTGTTTGGCCCTCTTGTACTGGGGCTGTGAGGACCATAAAAAAGGTGGAGAATCCCTGGAGGCCAGACAGCTCAGTGAGAGCACCCCAGGGGTGGGGAAAGAGGCAGGACCCCTCCCTCTCCTGAGTGCTTCCTGCTAAAGCTCTTCCCTGCCCAGGCCTCGGAGGACTTATTTTACCAGGCGCAGCCTCTCCTTCACACATGTTCCTACATCTATGTTCACATGTGCATGCAGACAGATATGGCTACACATCTGATGTGTGTACGGGGCATGTGGTAGAATCTCTGCTTAAGTGTCCACATATTCTTTTCCATAGCTAGTCCCCGTGTCCCTGAGGTCTCGTGTGGCCCTGGGTGTACAGGGGAGAGACCTCCTTTGTCCCGTCTCGCGGCCCTGGGGCTGGTGCAGCAACAAGTCCACACCTGTAGGAAGGTGGTGACTATTTCCTTAGGCTCGCACTCCTCACCCAGAGCACTGAAGAGGGAGAGTAGCAGCAGGTGGCACTGATCCTGCAGGGAATCAAGTGCCTTGGTGATGTGACTAATGGCTGGGATAATTAGTCATTAACCTTCCCACTTTCCCCAGGAGATAGAATGCAGCCACGCTGGGGAGCCTGGGAATGGCAGGCAGTGGCACACCCATCCTCCTTGGCCTCACCCATCTTCCTAGGCAGCCTCTGAACACGGGCATTAGGGTTCTCTGGAGTAAACAAAGGCATTCCTCTGCAGTCACTCCAAGTAGGGAAATACTGATAAGCCCAAATATCATGCCCAGTCCCCCCTTCTCAGCCTACAGCTCCTAATTTCCTTCTGTGAAACCCAGGAAAAGCACCCGGGCAATGTCTGGGGAAGGAGAAATCCCTCTCACCCCTCCACAGAGAATCAGCACATGCAATGAAAACTTACTGTGTGCAGTATGTAGGCAAAATAATAACATAATCATAGTAATGATAACTAATAAGTGAGAACTACTATCCTAAGAGGGTTAGGGGGTGGGCTTCTGGGGCTCCAGTGACCCCCTGAAATTGCTCCAGCATTGTTCCGGAGAGTGCTTTTATTTTGGATGAGGATCTATGGCTTTTAGCTTCTAAAAGGGGTACTTGACACTCAAAAGTTTAAGACCCTTGCTCTAAGATTTTTAATAATTTTTTTTAAAAGAGAGGAAGAGAGAGGAATAGAGAGTTAGAAACATCGATGAGAGAAACATCGATCAGCTGCCTCCTGCACACCCCCTACTGGGAATGTGCCCACAACCAAGGTACATGCCCTTGACTGGAATCAAACCTGGGACCCTTGAGTCCGCAGGCCGACGCTCTATCCACTGAGCCAAACCAGTCAGGGCTCCTTGCTCTAAGATTTTTAAGTTGAGCAGAAACAGACATTCAAAACTCAGAGATGCAAATATAAAGACACACTCTCTCTCTTTTAATATACAGTGAATGCAGTTCCAGACCCATCAGCAACCATGTCCAACTCTCCGGCTGTCCCTGCTCCCCAGAGAGAAGTCTACACAGAGGCCTGTGCCTCTTCTCCCCTCCTTGGCCCAGAGCACCAAGCAGTAAGAACTGGGTGCCTTACTCTTCCTGCCCCAGATGGCCACCATGACTCACCCCAGGGTGGAGGGCCTGGCAGGAGACACCCATCACAGCTAAAGCACCAGCCAGCAGGCCCATCCCCCTCTAACTGAGCTGTCTGGGCCCTGGTCACCGAGGCATAAAGGCTTCAGGACCCCCTGTTCCAGTGTGTCCAGGAACCACCTACAGCCACTCTGGATGCACCAGAATAGCGGTGAGACAGCCCTGACATCATTCAGCTCATTTCATGTGGGAAAAACACACACTAATAAAAATCAACAGTTTTCAGTCATTAGTTGGGGTGGAAAGGTTTGGGCGAATGAATCAAAATAGAAACAGAGACATGACTCAAGCATGATCCTTTTTATCTCCCCACCCTGGCCTTCTGAGTTATGGTGCCAGATGAGCCCAGGGTACCCTCTCTACATATCATCTGTCCCACTGATAGCAAGGCCCAAGAAACTGCAACTCTGGGCAGAAGTGGAACTAATTTTATTTTTAAAAATATTTTTATTGATGATTTTTTTTTGAGAGGAAGAGAGAAAGAGAAACATTGATTGGCTGCCTCCTGCATGTCTCCTACCAGGATTTGAACCTGCAACCTTTTGGTGCATGGATGACATTCAACGGAGCCACACCGGCCAGGGCGGAGTGGAACTAATTTTAACTCTAGCACCTTGCTATGGACATCTTCCTTCCCCTGAAAAGGTCTGGTACCATCTTCCTAGAGAAAGGCTAGGAACTACAGGCCCAGCCTAGCCCTGCGACTCTCCCTCACCAGCCTCCGACGTGTCCCTAAAGTCTATGAAGTTATAGGGTTAACAAATGCTAAGTGGGTGGAGACCACAAGTACTAATGACATCTGATAGGGTCCCCTCCTACAAACCCCTTACTTCCTGATTTAATCATTCCAAGGAGCCCAATTTGGAACGGAAGAGGCATTGGTAGGTCGAAGTTCCTGACTCTTTTCATACCTTGCTGGAGGGAGGGCTGATTGGTACCACTCCTATGCAGGCCAGGCGGCCAACATTGCAGGTAACCTCTGACCCAGTCACCCCTCTTTAAAGAATCTAGTCTACAGATATAACTGCCAGGTTACTTAGTTAAACAGCAAAAGGATAAAAACTATCCACGTGTGTATCAATAAAAAACAGTGAAATAAACAGGGTACATTCACAGAGGAGAACGTTATACAACTCCGAAAAAGAAGGAGGATGCTCTCTAGACACTAATAATGGAAAGGTCTCCAAGAGCAAGGTGCAGAGCAGTATGACTGATCGCATGATAACTTGATTACAAAAAGGGTGGGGTGAACAAGGAATACATTTTTTTTATTAGTATAAAAAATTCTGTAAGGATACACAAGAAACAAAAGTGGCAGTGGTTACCTGTGTGTGAATTTGTAGGTGGAGAAGTGGGTGAATGGGAGCAGGGAAAAGAGTGAGACTTTTCACTGTGTATCTTTTGTATAATTTTGCTTTTTGATCCAAGTAAATATATCACCAACTCAAAATAATAATTATAATAATTGAGTAGGTGACCATCCAAGCCAGATACCAGTATTCCATTATGAGATGATGCCAGCGATTCTCTCCAACCTGGAGCTGAATCAAAACTCACAAAACCCAGAAAGGCTGGGTCTGTCCACGGGCACCCTTTCCTTCATCAGCTCCCTCAGCAAACAGGGTCTCCTGATTGGCTCAGTTTCCCATCCCCACAGCAGCATCTGGGCTCTGCTTAGGTCATCTGAGCTGGGCAGGGAACAATTCAGTGGGCTGGGACAAATTCAAATTTAGGTGTCTCGGGAGCCCACAGGAATGGACAAAAGCTATGGCTGCCCAGGAAATGTAGCTGTGGTTGAAAAGGATCTTCTCAGGGGTCCCCATAAACAACCCTGGCTTTCACCTGCGTATCTATGTTTCAAGCTACACTCAGGAGCCAAGGGGCCTAGACAGGCCCAGACTCAAAGTAGGGTCTGAATGACCTTCAAGCTAGGCCAGTTGACTGAAATAGAGG